TTTCTTGAGATAAAGGCATTTTTAATAATAGTGGTGATAAAACAACGCGTTGAAGAAAGGAAGTGGGTGGCGTAGGGAGAAATTCGTCGCTCGGTGGTATTCGTCGCTCGGTGGTTGATTACGTTATTTGTAAGGGGATTACTGACATAATCAAGTTCCATGCATCTGATTGGCCTGTTCGGCTATGACATCATTGCCCTTTAGACTAGACTCAATCGGGCTGTAGCTTGTATACAAACCCGACAAAAATAGAGCAGAGGCAGGGATAGAAGACTTTGCTAGCGAGTAGCGCTTACACGTCGCAGGTTGCTGCTGTTGGTTGAGAAGATGGTCAGGGGAGAGAGATATATGGGGGGGGATTCCCTCTTGCAAGTCTCGTTGTGTTCGTCCATCGTGAACAATAGCAATTGGATTCCATACAGGTAAGTAGAGGCTTGCGGTGTCTGCCTATGCAAGCAAGAGGCTAATGGTCCAACTGCAGTCAAAATGGGACTCTCAAAAGAAGCAGTCATCCTCATTGTTATCGTCGGCTGCGTTGTCTCGGTGCTTATCGGCTACTCCATCCATTTTATCGCCACGAACGGCTTCCACGATGACGAGACAGAGAAGGAGATGTCGTACGACCAGAAGGAGTATATGCGCGACCTGCGGCTGAAGAATATGGAGCTGCTCGCTGGGCAGGCTGGGGTTAAGTTCTCGAGGGACACTTGACACCCTGGGACGGAGTCAGAGTTGGGGAGGGCGTGCCATAACAGGTGTTGAATTGGGTTATCCTGCTGGACAGGTAACAGTGCGGATGCATTTTTGGCGCGGTTGCTATTCATGGATGGCTGGTTGTACCATGCTTGATGTTCACATGTCATGAAATATAGCGAAAGTCACCTATTCATAAGAGCTGTTCAGACGCTCTGCTTAACACGGTGACCATAGAAATAGTGTTATTTGCGCTTCACACATCATCAATAGTCCATCGGGACAATATCATGGACCAGTCGCCACGTCTTTGTATTTTCGTCATATCGATTCCGAGAAAACTTCAAGTAGATCTGGTCAGAACTTCGATTCCATTTGGAGATGTCCAGATCGCCCAAGGGCCAGGGATCGTCTCGCGGCCGGAAAACACAATAGCCGTGAATTCGAGACTCCTCCGGTATCAAAGCCGCAAGAGGGATCGTGGACTCGCTCTCACTGCTTGTATTTTGTGGAAAAGTATACAGCCGAGTAAGCTCGTCGTACCTAGTGCTCTCGTCGTATGACCCTGCACATTCGCGGCTACCGGCCCTAACAGAGGCTGACTCTTCCAATCTCATCAAGGCTTCCGCCAATGTCGCACCCGGTGGACACTTGTACAGTCCCTGTATTGGAGGCGCCCTTTTCAATAGTTGCAAGGCTCTCCGGCGCAGCCATGGGTCGCGGCATGCAATCGCCGTCAGGAACAGCGAGAGGCCAGGCCCCATTTCAAAGGTGAATGGCGGTTGCCTGCCACTCGGGCCTGCCGAAGCTTCGAGATGTACAGCCGACTGTTCGACAATGAGTCGGAATTGGGGAAGATGAGCGTCGTATGCGGTCTCCAGCTGCTCGGTGCAAACGGCGGTAACAATCGATGTGGCAGCGTGGAAGGTGAGCAGGAGAGATGTCACGCTGCTAGGAAGTTCTGACGGATCAGACGAGTCGACTAAGTTGGTGTAGGCTCGGTGCCAGTACGCCAGCCGTTTCTGGATATCCTCTTGTTTGCTCTTCAAAGCTAGGGGAATGGGGCATTCGTGGCCCTTGATCGCAAAATGCTCCCCGACAGTGCGCTGGAAGATCATGCCCTCTGCAGCGAGAGCGGTCATTGCGAGACGGGCCGAGCTGAGAGAGGAGAATGTGTTTCGTGTAGAATCCTGCATTTCGTTGAGTAAGCCACTGACGGGAACCCCCGAAATACTCAGCGCGATCGTGCCCAGGCGTAAGAAGATAGGGATGATCGTGTCTTCCAAAAGAGTGGAGTCCGTGCAAGAGCCCATCCTAGTGCCACCTGGAGCCCGGAGCTCGAAGATGAGGCTGACCCCCTGCTGATAAAGTCGTAGAGCCTCTTCCACTCGCCCCTGCAGCGTTTCTATGCAGATGAACAGAATGCAGGTAATCAACGCTACACGGATATCCGCACTGCCCCGGTCAATTTGGCTGCGCATATTGGCCAACGAGCGCGCGTACCAGCGCAGGGCATCACTGTGGCTAGGACGCAAGCTCTGACAGTTGTTGTCATTTCGCCGCAGCCAAACAAAATCGAAGGACGGGTCTGGGCTCTCAAAGAGGGCGCTGATGGCGTTGATCGCGTCCCACACCGCAGGCTCACTCCGACATACCTGGGGGACAACACCACCCCAAAAGTCGATGTCCAGTCCCCCCGCAATGAATGATGCAGCGTATTGGGAATAATGTGCAAAAGCCCGCCGCTCGCGCCATACACTATTCGGCGCGAGCGAAAGCGGGTGGTCCAGTGCCGGGACTATGCTAGACGTTGGGACCTGGCGTGATGGAGCAGGGCTAATGTATTCGCATTTGCGTCCTGTGCTGGTGCATCGGATACAGCTGGGTCTTTCCTCTCCGCATTTGACTTTACGGATCCTATCGAACCAGTGTCGGCGCTGAACGATGTGGGTCATTGTAGAGGACATACTTGCAAGTCTTACATCCGTTCCGCGATCGAAGTGGCCCGTTGATGTTTTCAGCCAAGCAGATCTTTCTGCCCATCATTGTCCCTGTGTACACCAAGTCTCAAAAGTTGACTCACTACGAGTGCAGTCAAGAAAACTCAATCCCTCTCAGCTGCCCGGCTTGTCATCAGATAAGAAAGGCTCAAGAAAATAGCGCCAAGCCAGAGATATGCCGTCCAACCTTAAGTCATCGATGATAGTGGTGAATACGGCAAGCCATTGGGAGATAACTGAAAAAACCCAAAATTAATTTTGCGCAAAGTGCATTTCTGTGTTTTCTGCTGGCAATAAGGACCTAAGTATGACCTAACTATTTTTAGATTTCAATTTCTCCTCCCTTATTACCTAGGGCCTAATATACATAACGTAATCAACCACCGAGCGACGAATTTCTCCCTACGCCACCCACTTCCTTTCTTCAACGCGTTGTTTTATCACCACTATTATTAAAAATGCCTTTATCTCAAGAAAATCGGATACAAATGGCAA